AGTATTTGCCTTTACCTCTCTTCTTGCACTTAGCATACGTTACACAGGACAGCATCGTTTTTATTTATTAATAACTGACCTTAGCCAATTCGGACAGATATTAATGCACTATAGGTTTTGGCAGTCATTAGTCACTACTTCTGGTTTTAAATGGGTGAAGGTTAGTTGTTTCTCCCCTTCACTACCAGATTTTAGTAAAAGCAAGTGTTAGCTTAAGTTCTAACACAAGTACAGGCCAAGTATTTATGAGTGAAACATTTATGTGCAAAACAGTTTGTATAACCTTATGAACTCTGTACTTTTAGACAACCTGACAACAGTTTGAGGAAGGGTTGCTCTGAGGCAGAATTCAGCTATATTCTAGGGGTAGAATTTTGTTACCATTGTAGTTGACATCAGGCAAACAGAATCCTCTGGCCCAGTGGTTGAACACATGGGGACCATTTAAGGATCAAGCCTTGGGTATCATTCCCAGGGGTGCAGGTTGTAGACTTTGCTAGATTCTCATGCCCTGTTCATGCAAGGATGGGGAATCTAAATATTTAACTCGTCCACATTTCTTGTACACTACCAGTTTCACTAACGAGAGTGTATTTTCAACATCTTTTAGCCTAATAAACAAACAAACAAAAAAACCCAAACCCATTGCCGTTGAGTTGGTTCCAACTCATAGCAACCCTGTAGGATAGAGTAGAACTGCCCCATAGGGTTTCCACGGAGCAGCTGGTGGATTTGAAGTGCTGACCTTTTTGGTTAGCAGCCGTAGAAGCACTTGACCACTGCACCCCCAGGGCTCTTTAGCCTAATAAACAAGCATTTAATTTAATAAATAAAAACCTATTTCTAGAATCCATTATGCTGATTAGCAGAATGTCTGGAGCTGTTCAGAGATAAAGATAGTTGAAGCACTTGTAATAATAGCCTCTCGTAGTCACCTCTGGAGAATAAATAGCCTTTCTGCTTAGCTCGCATGGGGTATGATTTCTTGATCGGGGTAACTGGGCTTAGGAGATAGCTTAAATCATCTCTGCCCTAAACATAGTAGGCAGTTACACAAAGGTGTGAATACTGGGAGGCAGGGATCCCTGGAGGCCATTGGTTTTGGGGTCAGAGGGACCCCTTATCAGGGCTCTCCCATGACTGTGCTTAGGATGGAGCTTCAAGCGTCTACCCCATGATGTGCTGAAGTAGTTGAAGGTAAATTGTAGTCATCGCTGTATCGAATGTAATTCAGATCTGCTCATCTAGGTTGTAAGTAGAGACCCAGGCTTGGCGACTTGGTATCCCAGCAGCCTGCCCAGGGCCCTGCCCTGCCTCTAGTAACTGTAGCTACAGTTTATGGAGCGCCTGCAGGGTCGGGTGGGCCTGAGGTGGTGTGGTGCCTCTGCACAGGCCTCAGGTTAATGTCCCAGGTTATAAGCAAGCACACAGAATGGTTCCCTAAACAGGCCACATGTCTTGTAAGGGATAGAACTGGACTTTACATTCAGGCCCCCTGTTCTGTCCCCCAGACTATGCTGCCTCCAGTGTGGTAAGCGCCTAGGACATCTTCGCTGGTGATACTCGGAGTCAGGAAGGGCCACTTCAGCTGCTTTGGCCAGAGGTTTGGCTGTGGCAGTTTTATAGATGAGAAGACTCAGTAAAGATGTCGCTACTCCCCTGAACTAATTTATAAGTTCAAGGTAACTTTAATCACAATCCCAAAGGGATTTTTGTATGAATTTGAATAAGCTGATTCTGAAGTTCATGTGGCATATAAATGTGTCAGAACATTTCAAGGACAATTTGAAAACAAAAAAACTGTAAGAGGAAATTTGCTCTACCAGATATCAAAATATATTTAAAAGTTCCTGTAATCAAAACTTTATGATAAGTGGCCAAAGAAGAGACAAATAGATACGATTAGAGAATCCGGAATCAGACCTGCGTATACGAGAGTTTAGTGTCCCAGGAAATGCAGGGGCAGATTAACCGGTGAGCAAGACAACACACGGGCTGACTTGTGTTTACTTACCAGTCTGGAGTGCGCAGTTTCACGTGGTTTCACCACGTCTGTGACGTGAAATTGTGCACTCCAGATTAGTAAGTGAGCACAGCTAAGCTCGTGTGTATCTTGCTTATTGGGTAATCCGCCCCTGAAAATGGCATTCCATATCAGCATAGAAAAAGTGTTTAATAAGTGAAATTGGAGTATTATTAGTCCGGAAGAAATTATTTACAGCTCTGTCTTACATCCTTCACAAAAGTAACTTCTAGATGAATGAGAGAAATAAAAGTAAAAAAAACTGAAGATATAGGAGAAGTTTGTATAATTTAGGGAGATGGGTGAAACAGCAGGATCTTCCTTAGCATCCAGGAAATAAACTGGAGCGTAGAACTTGAGAAAGCAGTTTTTTGTTTTTTTTTTAAAACTGTTGTTGTATTTACTATGGTAGGTTGAATAATGGCCCCTGCTCCCCAAGATGTCCGTATCTTAATCCCTGGAGTTTGTGAATATATTATCTTACACGGTAAAGAGAACTTTGCAGCTGTGATTAAATTAAAGATTTTGAGATGGCCCTATTTAATCACAAGGATCCTTTTAAGGGGGCAAGAGGGAGTGAGGTGATCATGTCAGGATGAAAGCAGAGGTCAGAGAGGAGAGGAGACAGTGCGCTGCTGGCTTTGAGGATGGAAGAAGGGGCCACGAGCCAAGGAATGCAGACAGCTGCTAGAAGCTGGACAGGCAGGAACCCAGATTCTCCCCACCTGAGAGCCTCCAGAGTGAAAGCTGGCCTGCCCAGACCTTGATTTTAGCTATGATTCGATTTGGTGCATCTCACCAGCAGAACCGTAAGATAACAGATTCGTGTTGTTCTAAGCCTCCAAATTGGTAATTTTCGACAGTGGTGGGAAGCAACTTACCGTAACTTAAAGAGAGATGGAAAGAGGGTTTTTGTTTTGTTTTTCCTCCCTGTTTTTGGAGCAGGGAGATGTCAGTTTAAACTCCAGAGGGAAGATGAACCCTTTCTTTTGTAGGTCTCTTTATTCTTAATTTAAGGAGTGTTTGGAGAGAGAAGTGGCCTTACGCCAGGGGTATGCAGAGCTACTCAGTAAGTCAGGAAGTGAAAGTTCATGAAGTGTCAGACAGAGAGAACACCACCTCCGCCCCCCAAATGACACCCCATGACCTCTGCCACAGCGACTCTGAGACACTAGTCATTAAATCCAGCCCACCCACAAAGGTGTGGGTGCCAGGAGGCAGGGGTCCCTGGAGGCCATTGGTTTTGGGATTTAAGAGGCCCCTAATCAGGGCTCTCCCATGACTGTTTATGTGACTCTGGTGGCCTGACTCCTGAGTTTATTTTCTTTTTTAGATTTGGGTTAGTAACAAATTGGCGGGGTTGTTGTGAGAATTGAATGTGGTAATACCCATTGCCATCAAGTCGATTCCAACTCATAACGACCCTATAGGACAGGGTACAACTGCCCCATGGGGTTGCCAAGGCTGTAAGCTTTACAAGGCAGACTGCCACATCTTTCTCATGAGGAGCATGGCTGGTGAGTTCGAACCACTGAACTTTCAGTTAGCAGCTGAGAGCTTAACCACTGCATCACCAAACCCAAAAACCAAACCCTTCGCTGTTGAGTCAATTCTGACTCACAGCGACCATGTAGGAAAGAGCAGAACTGTCCTATAGGGTTTCCGATAGAATACTAATACTCTCAAATATTTTTGCATCAAATGCTTGGTATGGCATCAGATATCGCCAGATTCATATAGGTATTTTGTAAAGTACAAATCCCCAAAATAAAGCTTCATTAAAACAAAAGAAAATAAAAACTAGTCGGAGGTTATTCAGGAAATTTTTTAAAGTGTACGTGAGCAATCTGTCCTGTCTGGGATTAAATTCTAACAGAAGTAGAGGCTAAATATTTATGAGAGAAACATTTATGTGCAGAACAGTTGGTATAACGTTACGAACTCTTTGCACTTTTAGAGAGCCTGACAACACATTGATGAAAGGTTGATCTGAGCAGAATTCAACTAGATTCTAGGGGTAGAATTATAGTAAATAATTTTAGCTAATTGTGATTTATATATTTTAAAAAGATGCTTTTTGTAGAGAATTGTTCATGTTTGGTGTTGACCTGGTTCAGTGACATAAATTGATTTACTGGACCCCCCCTTTTAATTTGTGAGTGGTTAAAAATTTTCTTTGATACAGAAGTTACTAGAGTCTTAGAGTATGGTTTTATTAACATCTTAAAAGTCATTATTAGTATAAAATAAATATTAGTATAAAATAAAATAAGTCCCTGAGTTATGAACATCCAACTTACGGACAACTATACTTACCCTTTACTGTTGGGTAAATTTGCCCTCACTTTGAAACTACTGAACCGACCCCTACTGGCAACAAATTCTTCGTCATAATGACCCTCACTTGCTGCACGTGCAGCTTTTAAATCATTGAAAAGGCTTCGAGCCTTTTCTTGCACTAAACCTGGTGCCATTGGGTCAATCCCCTTCTCACAGCGACCCTGTAGGACAGCGTAGATTGCCAGAACCATAGGCACCTGTTTCGACTTACCTGCAAATTCAGCTGAAAGACACACTCAGGAATGGATCTCACTGGTAACCTGGGGACTGCCTGTAATGGAGCACAGGGAAAGGAAACGTCGGCCGTCTTGGAAACATGAGACTCTGCTACTCCTAAGGCCTTATATGATTGAATGAGGTGCCATGGTGGCGTAGTGGTTAATTGCTCAGCTGCTAACCTTAAGGTTGGCAGTTACAACCCACCAGCCACTCCACAGGAAAAAGACCTGGCAGTCTGCTTCCATAAAGATTACCGCCTTGGAATCCCTACGGGGCAGTTCTACTCTACTCTATAGGGTCGCCGTGAGTCGAAATCAACTCAGTGGCAGTGGGTTTGGTGTTTGGTTTATATGGTTGAATAGGATCAAAATCTCTTTTTAGGTGATCGAGCTTTGGGTTTAGAATGTTAATATTGTGGCATTTATAGAAAATGCCAAAGGTGTTGAAAGGGTATATTTTGGAAAAATTATGGTTGCTTAAAAACAACAATCCTACTGCAGCCCCAAAACAAGGAACAAAGACCCAAACCATTAACTTTCATGAGATTTGTTTGAAATAACTTGAACTATAATTTTGTTAAGTATTTTTATTTGATATATACAAGTTTATTTTTATTGTAAAGTATACATTATTTTATTATAAGCTGGGAGAAGAAGAGATGACGTGTTTGTCACATTAATAGTTGAAATCCTTCCTACATTTTAGTAGGAAATAAATATTTTTTAGGAGTTCCTGGGTGATGCAAATGGTTGACACGCTCAGCCGCTAACTGAAAGGTTGGAGGTTCAAGTCCACCTTGAGACGCCTTGGAAGAAAGGCCTGGTGATTTACTTCTGAGAAATCAGCCATTGAAACCCCTAGGGAGCACAGTTCTTCTCTGACACACATGGGGTCACCATGAGTGGGAGTCGACTCCATGGAAACTGGTTGATTAAATATTCTTGAACCATCCTGGGACAGTATTCTTTTGCTCTCAGTCCCTTCTATCACTTTCTACCCCTCTCACCCCCTCCAAAAAAAAGTTGTGATACTCAGTTGCCTAATGGTTGAGAGAGAGAAGAGAAACAAAATACGTAAAATCCTTTTTTTTTTTTTTTTTGGTCCAAATCTTTCTCTTATTAATTTTCCCCCTTTCTTTGTACACCCTGATCTCTTTCATGAGTTATCAGGATTCTCTAACACTCTGGGCACTGATTAACCTCTGTGTGCTTAGAAGTTTGAGGTGATACCACATTGTCAAGGAGCCCTGGTGGCACAGTGGTTAAGCACTGGGCTGCTAAGCAAAAGATTGGCAGTTCAAACCCACCCTGTGGTTCCATGGGAGAAAGACCTGGCAATCAGCTCCCGTAAAGATGACAGCCTAGAAAACCCGGTGGGACAGTTCTACTCTGTCCCATGGGGTCGCTGTGAGTCAGAATCTTCTGGACGGCAACAGGTATCACATTGTCAAGACAAAGCTTCGTTATGATTGACTTAATCTGAGAGTTTCTTCTTTATTTAGTATTTAGTCATTAATTTTATTTAGTAATTTATTTGTTTTTATTGTAAAAACATATAAAACAACAGTTTTCCAATTCAGCATTTCATTTAGTAATTTAATCTCTTATGAATTTTGAAGTGATTATATTTTGGGGGCTCCTAGGTTGTTTCACAGCGTTAAACCTCACGTGATCTCGACTCCTCCTTGGAGGTCCCCTGTGTTTGTGCTTCATGGAAATGAGTTCAGCAGCGCTCTCTGGGTCAAAGATGGTCCTCCCCAGATGGATTGCTTGCTTAGGCTGATTCGCTTGTTAGGTTACCTGTTGCATTAAAGTCAGGCAATTTCATACACCAAATACAAATGCACTAAAGTTAAAATGTGGATAATAGTGGACATAATTTTGGGATTCAGTTAAGAGTGTTTGAAAAAGCTGTCATACAAATGCTGTTTTTAAAAGGTTTTCGTACTGGCTGTAATTGTGTAGATTTAGGTGTGACGTGGTGTTTGAAATCTGAACACTTACAGTGGTGTTCAGCTCCTGTACTAGTCTGTTTGCTGTATCCTTACAGGTAAGTACCAGAAATTCATTCAGTAACCTTTCCTATGTGGTTCCTTTCTGGTGGTAATAGATTTCATAAATGGCACCTTTATGATTTCTTTTATTAACAGAATTCTGCTTGGTCAGAGTCGTGATGGCATTGTGTTCAGCACTGATGACTATTTTCTCTATCAAGATGGGTACAAGTATAATGTTAATCAACTCGGTGATGCCCATGACTGGAACCAGAACAGAGGTTTGTTTTGGGTCAAGTCTCCCGGGATAGAGTACTGGTTGGCTAGGAGTCAGAAAACCTGTTTTATTCTCGACTCAGACTTTGCCAGCTGAGTGACTTTGACCAGCTATTTAGCAGTTGTGAGACCCAATTTCTTCATGTATTTGGGGGGAAAAGAAAACAACTCATTGCCATCAAGTTGATTCCAACTCATGGCGACCCCATGTGTTACAGAGTAGAACTGTTCCATAGGGTTTTCTTTTTTTGGGAGGGAATCTTTTTCATTATCATGTATTCAGATATAATTCACATAAAATAAAATTCACCATTTTAAAGTGTACAAATAAGGCTGTTTGTAGTATCTTCACAAGGTTGTACAGCCATCACCACTACCTGATTCTAAAATATTTTTTAGCACCCGAAGAGGAAGCCCCGTACCCATTCACAGTCGGTCCCCACTCCCTCTTCCCTAGCTCTGGCAACCACTGATCTGGTTTCTGTTTCTCTGGCTTTGCCTGTTCTGCACCTTTCATGTAAATGGCATCACGTCATACGTGGCCTTTGGCGTCCGCCTGCTCTCACTTGGCGTAATGTTTTTAAGTTTTATCCACGTTGTGGCGTGGATCATGCCTAGGCTTTTCTTGGCTGTAATCTTTACGGATGCAGATTACCATTGTGAAAATTATAAGCACGGCTTATTTTCTTTAGGGAAAAATTCCTTTTTTTAACAGATTTTTTTTGAGCACTTTCAAATGCCAGGCACCATTCTGGGCATGTCTGTTTGCCTGATGTTAAAAACCAGTTGCCATCTAGTTGATTCTGACTCACGGCGACCCCATGTGTGTCAGAGTAGAACTGCGCTCCATAGGGTTTTCAATGTCTGATTTTTTGGAAGTAGATCACCAGGCCTTTATTCCAAGGTTCCTCAGAGTGGACTTGAACCTTCCGCCTTTTGGATAGCAGCCAAACGTGTAACGGTTTGTACCACCCAGGGACCCCTGCCTTATGTTAGAGTGTTTATTATTAGAAGAATATAAAGCCGTCTTAGAACACTTACAAATTCAAACCATCTCCAAAGCTGTCATTCTTCTCTGTCTTATAGTGTGGTGGTTAATTTGTCGAAGAAGTTGACTCTTGTTATTTGAGTTTTCAAATATAGTTGGAGCTTGTTTACCCAGGAGTTGTGTTCTTGTGGCGTCTACTCTTGTGGAGTCTTTTGTTACGGAATGCACTGGAATGTGGTGTTCCAGAACCAACCAGACCCATCACTATTGGTTCTGACTCATAGCGACCCCATGTGACAGGGTAGAACTGCCCCATAGGGTTTCCAATACTGTAATCTTTATGGGAGCAGATTGCCACATCTTTCTTCTGCAGAATGGCTGGTGGGTTTGAATCACTGACCTTTTGGTTAGCAGCCAAGTGCTTAACCACTGCGCCACCAGGGCTCTTGAATGTGCTGTTGGATGATATTATTCCTGGAAAGAGAATAATCTTGCCATTCCCACAAGTCAAATTTATTTGGTTAATAAGCTCCTCTTCCAGAAGATAGGAGTCCCTGGGTGATGCAAACGGTTAATCACTCAACTACTAGCCAAAAGGCTGGTGGTTCAAACCCACCCAGAGGCACCTCAGAAGACAGGCCTGGTAATCTTCTGAACCCTGAAAGCCTTGAAAACCCTGTGGAGGAGACGTGGGGTTGCCGTGAGTCGGAGTCGACTCAGCGGCAACTAACAGCGTCTTCCAGCACATAACTCCTTGGAGGTGTAAGTCTGTCAGATGTGAAGGAAAATTATTTTAATAAGCTTTTTTTTAATGGAAGATTTGATCACTGTTTATGGTTGGGGATGGAGTAACGAGAGTTGATGGCATTTTGATATCCTGTTTGTGACCCAAATTCTAAATTTCTTTTGGTTCTTAGAGATACCTTTTCTTAAATCTTCATCCCACCATGGCTGGTTGGTTAGCGGGGAGTTATTACTGCTTAACTAATGTTTAGAATTTTGTCTGCCCTAGACACCTGTTTAAAAGTTTCTCTTGTGTAGAACTTAGTAACTTGACTTCTGAGTCCTGAGAAAACTTCCATGGGACTGCATTTTCCCTCAGCCTTTTTATTTTTATCAGAAGTTCTTAATTATTGTCCTTCGCTACACCTAAGGGCTACACACACTCCCGTGATTAATGCCGGCTCACGAGGTAGTGATTCTTACCTCATGGGGGAAGAGATGGCGTTGGCAGAGAGACATACATTTATAAAACCCTACCGTCCCTTGACTCCCCATTTGAGAATTCATAACCCTGGGAAATATGCACAGGTTACTGGAAACGTGGTATTTAACCTCCTGGTTTATAAAGTTTTGCTGGTGAGTAATGGTAAGTGCATACCACTTTATTGTTTTACATTAGCCTTTCTTACTTGAAACACATTATGTGTACATTGTAGAAAATTGGAAAATACAAGTAAACATAAAATACAGATATTCCTACCACCTACAGATGACAGCTTTTAATATGTTAGTATAAATCTTCCTAGATCTTTCTCCTTCTGACCTAGATGAGATCATTCTTACATGTTTTGTCACTGCCCATTTTCAGTTAACAAGCCCCATCTCTCCAGTCCCTACATTTTCGTCTCCTCTCCTACCCAGCCCGCCTTCAGATGTAACTCGCTCCTCTGTCATCTGTGCTTCCTGTAAGTGGGAGTTCGCTCCAGACTGGAGGCTCCGTTAGCTGGAGGCTCAACAGATTGTTGTACCCGAAATGTCATTTACAGCAGGTTTTTCAAAGCCAGCACCTGCTCGGGAGGACACACACGGACGTGGTCATGTCTCAAGTCCCTTGGCATCCAGCGGAGGACTTTGTCCTCACTGTGCCGACTCGAGATCAGATAGTTTGGTGTCAAGTGCAGACGTGTAGAACCTTGCTTAATAACGAATGTTGGAATTTTCATCTTGTTTGTGTATTTTAACCTGATAGCTGTTTGTTTTTGTCTTCTGAATTTACTTTCATTTCAGCGAAACAAGCTATTGCTCAGGGGCGATCTCCAGTTATAATAGACAACACTAACACGCAAGCTTGGGAGATGAAGCCATACGTGAAGATGGTAACTATGAGATACGAGAGGGCGTCTGCTGTTTGCCGTGCTCTGTTTGTCTGTTGTGCTTGTTTCCAGAGAGGTTTATTGGTCTGCCTCGTTCTGTAAAAATTGATAGTGGTGCTTATTAAAGAATCTGCGCATCTTGTTAGTTCTGCCTGGACCTGAGGACGGTAATTGGGGTTCATCCAGTTGGAATGTTTACAAAATGTATTATTTTA